CGCGGATCCGACAGGTCGTGTGCCACACGCCGTGTATTGGGGCCTTTTCGCACGGAGTTCCAGCACGGCCATAGCACAACCTCTTTCCGTCGGCAAATGTGGGATGGCCGGAACACGAGGGGGAGGTTGGGTGCCACATCCTGCAATTGGCACTGTGCTCGCCATGGTGCGGGAGGACGAGAGTTTGGTTGTTGCCGAGCCACAGAGTCAGAGTTACGTTATCCATCATTGGCGCCGCGATGGAACATATCATCAATACCACCAGAGCCCAGATGGAGAACTCGGTCTTCCACCAGTTATTCCACTGCATTGTAAAAGAGGTACTGGGAATGAAGTTGGTGAGGAACCTATTGAAATGGTCTGGGGGCAAGATGGACAGAATAAAAATAATAGCCACGACAAATCTTCGTTATCCATGATGGCGAGTGAGCAGGCGGATGGTTTGATTACTTCGAAAATAGCTACCCCGCCACTGTACTTTAGTGGAAATCTTGAAGAAGCGCCATTATCTGCTCTTCATCGCGGTCGTTACCTCCCTGATGTGGGTGCCTCATGTATTCAGCTCTCGCAGTTGAATCTCGCGTCTCTACGAGCACATAAGCAAGAAATGCTTGGTGACATCGCCTCTGCGAATGCGGGTGCCTACGCCACGGGGACAACGGGTTTTACGACGGGGGAACCCACCCTCGCTGCAAAAGGAGGGGTGGCGGAAGCCGCACAAAGTGAATTGCAGCGAATTCAGATGCGTTTTGTGTCCAATGATCCCGCTCTTGCCGAAGCCGCGGCGAATGGAAACGTGGTCTTCCTGACAAGCTCCATAGAGGCAGTTGGAACCTTTGTGGCGCTGACAAATGGCACCATCCGCTGTCATTTTGACGACCGCACGATTCTTTTTCTTGTCCCGGGTGCGGATGATAGAGAGGAAAATTTGGTGGCCACTTGCCTTTTCCGTGACGCCACGCAGTGTTCAATGCGGCTAGTGAAGTGTGCTCAACACCATCGAATGTATCGCTATGTAGCTCACGCGCTACAGTTCCGCCGCTTTTCTCGTCTTTCTCCAGAGGCACGCACGGCTGTAATGAATGAAACGGCTGCATTGAAGTTGCAGTATCTTGATGAGACGGAATGGCAAAGAGAGAGAAAAATGGAGTGGGAACTGCAACAACTACTCAGTAGAACAGAAGCTCTCCTTTCGGGTAACGATGAACTGAGTCGGTTGAATCACTCGCTGCTCCGCGAGGAGAAGGAAAATGCCTCGTCCTACTTTTCATGAAACAACCGTGGCATTTGTTTTTTTGTTCTTGTTGTTCTTTTCGCCGCATAGAAGGAATGAACGTTTCATATTACTTTCTTTTGTTTATTTTTTATTTGTGTGTTGCACGTGTGCATGTGGAGGGGAGGGGAAGGCGAAGGCGAGGGTTTATTGTTGTGTTATATTTAACAACAACGGCGCGAAAACAATTCTGCAGATGTCGGATTGTTTCTCTTGGTTATAGAACTGCAACAACGTAGAAGTTCAGTGCCACACCGATGCCTGCGGGTGTGGTGAGAAGTATACATAAGCACATGCATACATACATGTATATTCATACACATACCTTTGCTCTTCCCTTGTTGTCTCATTGGTTGCTTCCATATGGATTTAATTATTTAATGGTATTTGTAAAGTGACAAGCGTCTTCTTTTTTTTTTTTTTTTTCTGGCTCATTTGGAGGTTTCCCTTTTATTTTTCTGTCCAGGTCTTGTTGCTATTTTTTCCCATGCCTGTTTTTTTTTTTTTTTTTTCTTCTCATTGTCGTTTGTTTCTTGTGGCGCCCCCTCCCCCCACTGCGATTGCACAACGAATAGGGCGGGCCGGCGAAGGAGTTAAAAGTTGGGTGGAATTCACGACAGGGAGTTTGGCGAAAAGAAAAGCGGAAGAAAGGAAGCCCAATACACAAAGAAAAAGAGAAACACACCCTGCCGCTCTACCGTGGCGCCTGAGAATGAGACAGGGACAGGGACGACAAGTAATCACACCCTCTTTACCCGTCTCACAGGAAGTGCAACTGACAGAAGAAGATGAACAGGACCGTCGTTGGATCGTGGACTCCGAATCGAGGAGCAGTCTGCTGTTTCTAAGCGTCTCCAGTACGACAGCATCTCATAGCCGAAGAAATCTTTCCTTTTTAACAAGTCATGTTGGCAAATTTGACGAGTTACCTATTTCTCACACGCGGAAAATATCTGTCACTCTCCCATTGCCGCAAATTGTTTCTGGCCACTTGAGTGAATTGCGGACGGCCAGTTTAGACCCCGAGGTGGCGATGCCAGCTTTAGTTGACAAGATGTCAATTACAGCAAAACACGAGCTCCCTATTTATAATATCCGTACGGTTGTACGCAAAGAAAACCACCCGTTGTGGTCACCCTCCACACTGACACAATTGGAATACTTGTTTGGACTTCAGAAATTGGGACATTCAACTCTTTCTAAGGGCGTTCAAATGGCTTCTTCCGGGGAACTGGGATTGCCAGGCACAATGGAGCGACCTTTATTGTTGTCAGAGGGAGAGTCGCATGGAAGCTGCTCTAAAATAACGAGTATCGGTGTAGGGGATCATCAGCAGGATTCTGGATTGTTTAGAACACCGTCCAACGAATACTTGGCTATAAAGGGTCGAACAGACCCTTTAGGAAGAGAGCAGCTTTGGGCTGTATGTCATTCCTCATTCGAGTCGCAAACAGGGCTTCAGGGATTGGGACCGCGCGAGGTCTCCAGCCTTATTCCAATGTTGCTGCGTGATGAATGTGTCTGTCGTCAAGTAATTGTGGAGAAGGAGCGTCACGAGGCGCTTCTTACTCTTCCCATGCCTCCACACGCGACGTTAAACTGGATCCATCCAGCACTGGTAGCCGGTATTGAGGAAATAACTATCATGGAGGAAATCTGTCGGAAATATATCTTGGAGGAGGAATCCAACCAAATTGCTCCAATATGGGATTTCTATGTCTTTGAACACCGATGCTTGGTCGTTGGGACAAAAAAACTCACCTGTTTCTTGCGGCGGTGGATTTTAACTTACAGGGGGCGCAAGATGCGACAATTGGAACAACTGAACAGTTTATGGAGGCGGGAGGAAAAATCCCGGTTGGAGATTATCCAAACATGGCTGGAAGCCCGGAAGGGGCTTTTTACTCGCTTATTGATTGCCACAGAGACCCTGTTCCGTGTTGTCATTGAAGAACTGCAAATACACGCGCAGTATGCCCACGGTCTTATAAGTATCTCTTTGAAGGCGCAAACAGATCTATTTTTCCACCTGTACGGTGCAGTGATGCCAAGAGCCATCGCCTGCGGGAGAATCTCAGGTTGTACCCGATTTAAGTTACTTGATTTAAATGATCAGCACGGACGCGGCTGTTTGAGTAGTTGGGAAGAAAAAGGACGTCTTGCTATATCTTGTATGATGCAGCGGGAGGCTTTGGAGAAGTTCTTGGAAGGTCCCAAGCGTCAACAAATCGTGGAGGAGGAGTTTTTTGCGCGTGGGAGGCTTACATGTATTTTATTTGCTATGCTGGAGCGCTGTCACCGACGTGAAATTGAAATTGTGGAGGCCTGTGAGTCTCAGTTAGATGTACTTCCCCACTTCAATGCTCCGTTGGCATTGAGTAAACAGCAAAATGAGGAAAAGCAGGCAGTTCTGTACCTAACGGCGGTGCAGGGGTGCCCTTCGTAGGGAGGAGGAAGGCCAAGTGGAGTTGAGAGAAAATAAGAATGAGGACGGAAAGAAAAAGGAGAAAGAAAAGGAAAGGAAAAGGAACTGAAAGCTGAAACACCACCCTTCATGACTTGTCTCGTGTTGCTGTACACCACCGCGACGCATCCCTTTTTCCCCACTTCCTTGTGATGTGACGTCTTTTTTATTTTTTGTAAATTGCTGGCAAAGATGGCTGTGGGTTGTGGAAATATTGTGACATTACTTTTACTTCATTTTTTTTCTTTTCTTTTTTGCTTTACAGGAGCGTGAGGAATCGTTTCTTTTGTTGTTGTTTTGTTGTTGTTGCGTGTGTGTGTGTGTCTGTCTTAGAACCTTTTCAAATGTCCATCGGTGCCAGTGCGATGCGTCTTATTATGCGTCAAATTCAAGACATTGAGGCGAACCCCACGGATGGTGTGCACATTCACAGGTCCGACAACCTGAGCGAGTTGCTCTTTGACCTCACAGGGCCAGAAGGGACCCCGTTTAGCGGTGGCATCTTTCACGTTGTGCTGTACTTCGAGGAGGGATACCCGGAGATACCGCCGCGTGGGGTCTTCCGAACGAAAATTTTTCATCCCAATGTGGCAGAAAAGGGAGACATTTGCGTCAATGTCCTTAAGCAAGACTGGAAGCCGAGTCTTGGGTTGCGTCATGTGCTTACAATTATCCGCTGCCTCTTGATTGAGCCAAATGCGGAGAGTGCGTTGAACGAGGAGGCAGCCCGTCTTCTTCTTGAGGATTATGATGCCTACAGACGGAAGGCGGAAATGATGACTAAAATACACGCCATGAAGGGCACCAGACCACCACACGATGTACCGCCGCCATTTCTCTCAGACGACGGTCGAGAAAATGGCCAGCTGCTTAGTAGAGGGATCGCCAATGTCGGCAGTGCCAGTTTGCCTGCGTCAGAAGGCTTTGTGAGCTCCCAACTCCGTAACGCATCGGAATCGGCGTTAAACAAACGGAGCGCTGTGAGTGGAACTTCCACGAATGTTGTTGCTTCCAAAAAGGCGGTGGAAAAGAAGCGTGCCGCTCTGAAGCGTATCTGAGAGTCATGAACGCATCTATCTATCTACACATATATATAAATTAGACAATGTTGTGCCGTCTCTCTTCTTCTCTCTCTCTGTGTATTTCTGTGGGTTGTTCATTTTTATTTTTTTTTTTCGCCTGAGGTATAATTTGGATGCATTGCGCCTCGATACAGAGAAGCAAAAAAAGAAAAAAAACAGCAAAAAAAAAAAAAAGGAAAAGAAAAGGGAAGGAGAAGAGACAGAGGAGCGTTTTTGGTTTGGCTTGGTGTCATTGAAGGCATCCTTGTATCCTGCAATTTGTACACGTCACGTTGGGCTCTGTGACATCATAGACTGTATTTGTATGTATGTTCGTTTGTACATGTATATTTGTATTTGTGTTTGTATGCCCCCCCCCCCTCCTATTTTATTTTATTTTATTTTATTTTATTTTGCTTAGTGGCAAAGGCAAATTATTTACAAATTTACTAGAATTTGACTGATAATCACCATTAAAGTGTGAGATTTTTGTTCTGCGGTGTTTTTTCTTTATATTTCTTTATTTACTTTTTTTTTTAAAGCAGTTTTGTGTGTGTGTGTGTGTGGAGGGGAAAAAAAGAAAAAATGAAAGATGTGATCATGTCTTTTTGTTGCTTTGCAAGAAATAACACCCTCGGTGCCTGCATGCATGTGAACTGTTTGCCCTCACGTCTTTTTTTGTTGTTGTTGTTCTTGTCTTCCGCCTCCAACACGCACAGCCGCTGTGGGAAGGCGGGGAGTTGAACCCAAATAAACAAAACAAATGAAAAATAAATAATAATGAAAAGATTGCCGTGGATCTATTCCTTGCGAAGATCCCCCTGACGTAATGAGAGAGAGAGAGAGAGAGAGGGAGAGAGAGAGAAAGGGGAATGGATTTGTGTGTGTGCATTGGGGAGGGGGATGTGTTTTGGCCGCGGGTGACAAAACTGCGGTTGGCCGATGATTATTTTGTTTATTTTTCTTCCCCTAACCTCCCCTCCCCCCTCCCCTTTTTTTCTTTTTTTTCCGCTCACGACTGTAGGGGAAGAGGACGGCAGCAATGAAAAGTGATGAAAGAAGGGAGAGGGGGGAAATGGAAATGCAAAGGGAGGAGAACAGGTGCGATGGAGACAAGTCGTAACTGCCGCTCTGCCGCTAAGACTGAAGAACACTGCGGTGACTGTTTACATGTCGCCTCTCACTTTAGAAGAAAATAATAATAATAATAATAATTGTTATTATTATTATGAAATGAGCATACACATATTTATTTATATTTATTTTATTTTATTCTTTTATTTATATTTATTTATTTATTTTTAAATTCCTTTGCATCGCTTACTTTATATGTCTGTTTGTGTGTCTCTTATTACCTGTTTGTCTCATTTCATTTCTCTCTCTCTCTTTCTTTTTTTTTTTTTTTGTCTTCAAATCAACATGGCGGTGGTGAAAAGGAGCTTTGAAGGAGGTCCAGTTAAATTACACATAAATACACACACAAAGAAAATAGTTCTTGCACTCTCATAAGTGCTACGCGTGTGAAGAGGCGCCATTTTTTCCTTTTTGTTTGTTTGTTTGTGTGGAAAAGGGGGAATTGGGTCCGCTCCGTTGCAGAACGTTGTGTGGCCGGTGACCTCTTTTTTTTTTCTTTTTTTTTTTTTCTTGTGTGTGTGTGTGTGTCTGGTGGGGGGGCTGCCTGCTGCTGCGCTTGTGAAGTGGGCGGGCGGTGGAGGGACGACGGGGGGCGTGAGAACAGCGGGGCCGGACACGCAACCCCCCTCCCCAGCCACCCACCACCCACCCAAAAAACAAACAAACAAGAAAGAAAGGCAGAAAACAAAAGAAAACCAAAACAAAAGTGTGGGTGAGTGGTTGGAAGGGAAATAAATAAATAAATTAGAAAAAAAAAAGGAGGAGGGAAAAAAGAAAAAGTAAATTACGGAGGAATGCCGGCGTTGTCTGAGAGGGACTTGTCGGGGGTGGAGAAGTTCTCCAACGCCATGAAGGCGGCATTGGGGCGTCAAAGTCGTCAAGTCAATCTAAAAGATACCGACTCGCAGCGCATATTATCATCAAATCCTTCGGCGTCGGATATTACTGAAATGATACTGTCAGAAAGACGTCTTTGGGCGGAGGCAGCCGTGGCGTTTTGGCGTCTTGCCAGTCGACAACAAATACACCTGTTGTCGCACGTCTCCACTGGTGCGCTGCGTGAGTTGCACCGTTTCTGTGAAGGACTACTGGATCACATCCGGATTACATTTTTGAGCCTTGCGCCCACTGCAACACCCCTACAAGTTTTAGACTGCGTCTCTTCTCTCGGCACCGATCATATTTTATTTCTTTTGGATACGTTTTGCTCGCCAAAAGGCTGCATTAGTATGGAAGGCGGCGAGGAGACACGGGGGAGGGAACTTCACACGCATGTGTGCAGGGTGCTTGCGGAGCAAGATCACCTTTACTGGATGACACGAGTGGTTCGTGCCTTCTGTGACGAATCGTGGCGGGTGTGCTCGGAAAAGGATGAAATGTCAAGGGCGTCTGTCTCTGCCATCCATGGTATGCTGCGTTGTTTGCATCATTGCTGTGCCACAAGTGCAGCGTGTGCGCATGCGCTCATTTATACGGAACCCAGACCGTTAGTGGCCCAATTGTTGTACGGTCTTCGTTTACGCATCTCAAGCAGTACTCTTATTCGCCCCGTTGTCCGCGATGACCCCACGCGACTGGGCGTTGCTCTTTCCTCAACACCGTCCTTGCCCACCCCGACTATGCGTTTGCCAGCCACAAAGTCCGCTCTTGCTGAATACTTAACATCTGGACGAACGAATGCGTTTGATGAGATAAGTAGAGAAGCCCTCAATGTTGCGGTGGCCGCTGTGAAGAGGGTGGCGGCACATGAGACACCGGAAGTTGTGATTGGTCTATGCCATATCGTAGATGTCAGTTCTCGTAGCATCGTACCATCACCCAAGGATGAAAAGAAACCATCCATTTCTACGCAGATTGCCATGTATGAGAATGTGCTCATGGCATTGGAGGCATTATTTCAATTACTACAAGTAAAAGACGATGAACCATGGAGTCAGGAACTTGTACTTCGGCAAGAGATTGTTCTGCAGCAAATTCTTAATCACGATCTGGCAAGGGCTGTAGAGCGCCTGCTGCGGCATTGCCCAACCATTCTCGACGCTGATTCAACGCTCTTTCAGAGTATAGGGACTTTATGCACTCCTCCCTTTACATCCAGCCGGAGGAGACGCAGGCAATCCACGGTGTCACGTGTGGAAAATTCCACACAGTGCGTTCCGGGAAACGGCGATTCGTTGAGTGGAAGCATGTGCAGTCGAAATGCATCCATGGTTTCTCTCACTAGTAGCATACATGTGTCACGACCAGCGCTGCCGGAGGGAAGTGTGGCACGTGCCTCGAATCTTGCCCGATCGTTATGGATGAGCGTGTGGCCGGGGGCTTCCCGTGGCAGTGGTGTTGCCGGCTTGACTCATGCACACGCCGCATCACGTCCTGCACCATCGGACGATGAGCCTATTGGTTCTTTTTTTCAAAGGGGTACTAGCGATATGATTTTCGATCACGCGCCATCGCCGACGTGTTTGTCTTTGGATTTTGATGGAGAGGAATGGTGGTACAGCAACAAGACATACGTGAATCTTCTACTTAGTCTGACTCAATTGTTGAACGCGATGTTTTCAGATGCCACAACACCTCTCTCAATTCGCCTATCCATTTGCAAATTACTCACTCAAATCAGTATGCGAAGTTCTAGCGCTTTCGCGGCATCTGAGGGACGTCTTGTGATGCGTTCATTTCTAACGACGCTGCGGGCACACGATCAAGGTTTGTGTACGCCATCTGTAGAAATCCACGACGTACCACATGTGGAGGAGGAGAAGAATAAGAAGGAAATTCCACATGAAATACATCTGCAAACGCATGAACAATCGAGTGAAAAATATCCGTGTACGTCCATCGAGGATGATATGATGTATGCTGCACTGGCTCAAAAAATTGTTGCGGGTCTCTGGCACGTGTATCACGTTTTGCACATGATCCCATTGTCAGGCGAGACGGTCGATATTATTGAACTCCCGCTACTTTCTTTACGCTGGAGGGGGGAAGTGAAGGAAGCAGAAGAAGAAAAGGTGGAGGAGGGAGCCACAAAATCATTTGGTGGGATTCACAAAGCGGTTCTTTCCCTTTTTGGCCCTGTTGTAAGGGTGTGGTACACGGCTCTGATGAGTAACGACGATGAGGATCTCAACAAGCGCTCACAGGAGGTCTTCATGGAAGTGCTGGTGAGGTTGCTTAAATTGGGTGGGGTGCCGTTGACAACAATGGACTTTCTGCGTGCCTCCACGGTGTCCATTCCTTCTACGCCGCCCACCATAAACTTCAATTGGGTGGCATCGCACTCCGAAAACAGCAGCTTTGCGTCCATGGAGAAGGACGCTTCGCGGGCGGAGCCCAGTGACACCATTAAATCGATGCGTAGTGTATTTGTGATTCTCCTGCAGCGAGATCCGGGTTTTCTTTCTTTTGAACTATTGAAGGTGTTGTTTGCCCTTCTTTGGGCCAATGATGCCCAGCTATCGGAATTAGGGCGAAAGTGCATCGCCAGCAGTCTGGATTTTGGTGAAGTTTATCCCACATACGCGAAGGTCATTGGCAATGCAGATTCATCCCTATTGATTCAGTTGCTACTGATATTTTCTGCAGGGCTTGTCTCTTCAGAGGTATCGATGGATGCCAAGCATGAACGTAGAGCGTGGTTATTTCAACACGGTTGTGTCAACGCTGTTATTGCTGTGTTAGAACGTGTTTTACGTGCCCCGCATGACGTACAGAGTTTTCCTAGTCTTATTCGACAGTTGTTTTGTTTTCTTTCTCTGTCGGAGTCGGCGCAGGGACGAGGACCGAAGCTTGAAGACACACGACTGGTACACGTGTTCACCGAAAGCCTTCATTTTTTGGAGGGGGCGGAGTACCTTATTCTTATCACCCAGTCCGTTCTTGACGCAGCCACCTCAAAGTACGATCAATACCGAAGCCGCACACGTCGAATAAATACACATGGGCACTTTACATTGCCCATTCCAAATTGCTCGGTGGAGAAGCCGATATTTATTGATCTTGTCCCACCCTTACTTTGCTATGCACACGAACATGCCATGAATGTGGAGAACGACCTTCTCTCCGCCTTGCATCTTGTTCTAAAGATGACAACAAATGTACGCTCCGACGCTCTTTTGAAATGGGTATTGCAGAGGAAACATACGGCTTTACTGCCGTACTTGGACCTTGACGCAGCCGTGGCAGACCGTGTTTTGCCGTATTTTGGTAACCGAAGTGATATTGAATCTTTTTGGACACCTATTCTGCAGGAGGCACCAGAGCGCACGGAGCTACGTTTTAGTTGCACAGGTGGTATCGCTGTGACGCTGGGAAGATGGCCGGAGAAGGGCTTTTCGGTTTCTGCATACTTTCGTTTTGAAGAAATATATAGCGATATACAATTATTTGAGTTTATTGATGGTGAAGTTTTGTCGCCATCTCTTGCGTCTATCCGCATTGCAGGTGGAGATAGTGTGAATATTATGCATGATGGGAAGAGGGTGCCGGTTAATGAAGGTCATGCACTACCGGATCTTGAACCTCAGCGATGGGCTCATTTTATTGTTGTCATGAGCATGGCACATACCGTCTCTGTTTATCTTAATGCTGATAAAGTTGGGACGTGCTCATTACCCTACTTTCGTTCTCACTCGGAGGTGGTTATGAACATTGGTTTTGTAAATACCACTGTGCACGATTCCCTCTTCTCAATTGGTGAGGTTGTGCTGTGGGATGAGGAGCTTACGACACCTCAGGTGGAGGCGTATGTTGCCACGACGGGCTATAAACCGAATGTATGTAAAATTCTTGAGTGCGAGATACCACGTGAGCTGTCGGAGACGCATGAGAAGTTGCCTATTGAAGACCGTATTGCCGTGTTTTCACCCTATGAAACTCGTGATTCCATGTTGGTTGACGTTCTACAGAAGGAGTCCAGGGGTTACCCGATTCTGGCCAAGCTGACTGGAACCTACGCCGAGGCGCCAAAGAATTGGATTGACTACCGTACGCTCTTTTTGAACCGAGGTGGACTTGTTTACATGCTTGAGTGGATTGCAGCGTCCACCAGTGCGGAGGAGTTGGAAAGATACATGGCACTTACATGTAACTGCATCCGGGGCACCACCAGTGGAGGTACTATGGATGTACAGACATACGCATTACTTGACTTTCATCTTCGTTGTCTTGCCCATCTCATCACCCCGGCTGTTTGCGACAGTCTTCTGCATCTTGCCACAGCGAAGATGAGTGTCAATGATGAATTCCACCCATTTATTATAAATCGACTTGTCTTTGATCACATTTTCCGGGATATTGAACTTTTTGCTGATATGCCACTGGACGCTGCGCTCTATTTGATAGAAGGTGTGGAGAGACTGTTTACAGTTGCCTCGTGCCGTTTTGCGAGGCGAAACGCCTATTATATTATACCCTTTCGATTTGTCGACAGTGTTCTTAACGGGTTGGTCTACGCAAATGTCTCACTTCCCTTTGTCTTACGTGGCCGCGTGATTTCATGTTTAAAGCACATCATGATTGCAACGGATTTTGAACCAAATATTGTTCATGTCATCGCGTCCACGGCGGCGGTGCTCACGCCGGTGGAGATGGAGGCGACAAGTCGCCATCAACCCGCCTTGCGAGTCAAAATTCCCAAAGCTCGATTCTCGCAGATAAGTGTAACGCTCCACGGTGCATTTGAAACTACTTGTTTGATTCTCCGCAGTCTTGTGGAGTGCTGCTGCAATGGGAAGTTTGCCGCAGCATTTGGAATAATTGTGGATCTAAATTGGTATGCTGCTTGTGTCTCGCGCTTTGCAGATGTGGCATGCGTTGTATACGCGACACGACTCTTCTTTGAGGCGATGCGGTTCAATATGGACCTGCGCAATGAAGTGATGCATCATCCCGCAGTCATTGTGCATACCCTCTCCCCACATTGCCTGAATGAAGACTTACTTTTGCTCCTGCTGAGCCTCAGCGTGGGTGCTGTGAAGCGCATTGACGTCCTTTCATCAAAACATCCGATGCTGCAACAGTTGGTTGGAATCTTGGACTCCATGACGCCGGAGTTAGACGCCGTGGTGTTACCCATCTTTTCTAAATTGCTTACGTTATACTTAACTGCGGCATCATCCACGCCTGCTTGTTTCCGACCGTCTGACATTAGTTCTGCGATGCAGCGACGTTTGTATTGCTCCTACCGCCTGCACAAATATTTTAGCCTTGCACGGGTATGTAGCATACTTATGCTTCAGATATATGCCAGGCGACTTCCCCCACAGGCAAAGAAAACGGGCCACTTAGTGTCCGTATCAACCGGAGGTAGGTCGATCCCATTGTCACTCAAGAAGGATGCTTCCAAAGAAGACGTGACGGCTGGTAACAAAAAGACACCCGTGCAATTCGGCCGGTATCGTAGGGCGTTTGCTGCGCTGCGTGTGTGCCTTTATTTATGGAAAGCCATTCAACGCAGACGATATAGGCGGGTGCGGCAGCAGAATGTGAGTGGCCACACGCCCCTTATGGTGTCGGATGTGGAGCCAGAAAAGGCCCTCTTTATACTCCGCACACTTCAGAGCCTTCCGCTTAAGCCCGGTCTCTTTGTGCCGTGTACACTTTCGCCATATCAAATTGAGGTTCTGGCCTTTTTCGGAACATTCCTGAAGCGGGAAGCCGTTTCGGCAAGATTTGAAGAAAAGCTAGGGTTACACGAAGGTGAAGATTTGCCCTTTACCGCTTCGACCACGTCGCTGCATAGACTCATTAAGGAAAACACGACAGGCAGCGATTTTTTTCCACCTCATGTGAAAATCTTTGATGAGTCGCATTTATTGCCGGTTTTGCACGACACGGTCAATGAAGAGGAGACCAAACATGATGATGATGACGATGGTGATGAAGGTGATGATGACAGCACAGTTGAAAAAAAAGAGCAAGGAGGAAAATGGCAACACGGAGTACACCAGCAGAATAAATGGGTTGAAAGGGAAGAAAAATTTAGGGTAAAAGGTGAGAAATACTTTGAAAACCAACTACACATGCCGTTAACCGCATCGGCCCCCAGAGAGCTTCACGTAAGGCAAACGAGTTCTTGTACACCAAATTCTTTTCTGCATGGTGATGGAGATGTTCCCAAGTCACCACCGTTGGCTGCCACTCCTGTTTCCACAGAGGTGGCATCACTGCCGGAGGACGACGACGCGCCTGCTGCCAGTGGCAGTGGCAGCAGGGTGGACCAGATGACAGACGCTGCTACTTCTTCCGAGGAGGACAGACATCTTTCTTCTGGACTTGAACAACTTTTCTTGCCTGTTGAAGAGACTACTTTGCGTTCTGAAATGGGTGGGAGTATGAGTGCGGATGTTTCGATGGGCTCATTTGCACCCTTTGCCAAGTTGCAGTCTTTCAATGCAAAGTCCCTGCAGGAGTGTGCCGTTGGGGTGTTGTGCAACACCGTTCTTGCCTCATTGCTCAACTTGCCTGTCACCGAAGGGTGGGTTGGGGGACAGACATACGGCTCCTGTGGGGCGCTGCTCTTTCAGCTGATTCTTATCACCGGCGCCATGTGCAGTACCGAAGAGGTGACATTGACACTGACACAATTTTTTATTGACCAGTTGCTGGTGTGTGTGGATTTGTCTGAGCGTTTCGTGGAGCCCAACACTTCTGTTGTCTCTTCGCCAAAGGGAACTGGATTTGAAAACAGCGCACGAAGTTTTACTTCTCTGCCGGGCTCTGTATCGGATGTTTTTATCTTTAATATTTGTCGGCTCAATGATCTGTTGGTGCAGTTTATTTCGTTTGATGTGATGAGGCTCTCAAGCCTCTCCCCGTACTTTGTGTGGCTGCTTGGATGGGCCTCCTCTTCGTGGCCACAGCGTTCACAGCAACAACTGCGCTCACAAATCGTGAAGAGTTGCATTGCCGTGCTGAACAAACCATCACCCAATGGGGTTACACATGAACAGATGGAGATTGTGTACATGCTACTGCAGCGCGTTCTCTGTCGGCAGTGGATCATGAAGGACATGCTTGAGTGTTTACTGCGTGTTCTCTTTCGTGTCTACGCGTCGTTACCGCCAACCTCGATAAATGAAGCGGAGGAAGCGAGGCGGAAAGAACTTGTCATCTTAACGCTACGCCTTCTGATGCGCACATATGAAGGGTGTAAGGAGCTACACAAGGCACTCTCTGCAAGTGCGTTAAGGCAACGCATTTCACTTTACAAGGAATTTGCGGCAACACTCCTTATAGAGGATGAGGCCATTTCTGTGGTAGCCTTTGAAACATACTGCAAAGAAAATATGACGACAATACACAGTTTTATTTCCGGTCGACCCAAGACAAAGACGGATATGGCCTACAAGTCCATGTTGAAGGAACGTTGTGAATATGTGAAGCGCATTAATACATTTAAAGAAGCATACAGCAAAACAATAAATATTAGAGATAAGTATCGACCACCGGAACTGGTTCAGGCATACACCGCCCGCTTCTCCTCATGTGTCGATCCCATCTCACCCTTGAAAGTATCCCAATTGCATTGGTTGGTAAAACAACAATGTTCTCTGCAGCAAAATGACCCCCGTGTGCGTGTATTAAATTATTTAGATTTGCGTGGGAACTACACAACGGTGATATCGAATCACGTTTCAAAAGATGCTGCGTCCACTGTATTGGGCACAGACAACTGTGAGCAACAGCACAACCACATCTCTACTTTGGTGCAGCCTTTTGCGATTTGTTGCCGACCGTATATTCTTCATACAGGTACTCCTTTTGTGGATATTAGTTGCTGTGTGACCCCTTCCGCACTCTCTTTGCTCCGATACCTCCTTGAGCCAAATGAGGTTCTACGCTTCATTAGCAACGGTTTCCGCATTCATGGAATTCATGCAACACCGTGTCTGATTCTTCTCACAGACTCCTCGTTGAAATTGATTGGGTTTTCCCGCATTACGGTGGAGGGGGACATTATTCTCTGCCAGCGCGAAAACGACGAGAGGGAAGAGCCTGTTCTTCCCGTCCACATCAGCACGACAAAAAGCTCGAAAAACAAGTGGGGCTCTCAGCTCACGGCCTCAAGTTTCGCAGCCTCTATGACAAACAAGCTGCAGCGTTTCCTTACAGATGGCGGCGGAAAGAAGCGACGACGAATTGAGACAGAGAAACTTCATGATGGAACCAAAATTGCACACTCGGTTCGACAGGCATCTGGAGACTCCTACAGGGATCTATTTTGGGTGTATTTCCTGCAGAACATTCGGAGTGTACGCATGGCATATTACATGCACCAGGATACCGCCATTCTCTTTGAGCTCATGTATGACGATGGTCCCATGTTGTCTCTAGTTGATACACATCAATCTATGAACACGTCTGCACGAGACAAGTTTCTTGCTGTGTTGAAGGACGTCCTTGGTACGCAACGCTGTGAATTTTTTGACCACTCACAACGAACCGCTAGTATTCGTTCGATGCTTATCCGTTGGGCAGCAGGTTCAGTCTCTACATATGACTATATCACTTTTCTTAATTCTGTGGCGGGCCGTACAAGGAGAGACTTTAACCAATACCCCATCTATCCATGGGTGCTTGCCGATTACAAGTCAAGTGAACTTGACATGGACTCCCCCAAAACATATCGTGATCTCTCGCTTCCTATGGGGGCACAAACGGAGGAACGACGTCAGAAAGTGATGCAAGTCTACCAGCAAATGGTGGAGGTGCAAAAAGCCGATCCGGACTTTGAAGGCGTTCAGCCATTCCATCATGGCACGCACTACTCTACGAGTGGAGGGGTATTACATTTTCTCATTCGTGTGGAGCCATTTACAACTTTTGCACGCATCTTTCAAGGCGGTGAGTTTGACGTAGCCACGCGTTTATTTGATTCCATTGATGCCTCCTTTCAATCGTGTGTGCATGGCCCCACAGACTGTAAAGAGTTAATGCCAGAATTCTTCTTTGATGGCATGTTTCTTGTAAATGCAAATCATTGCGAGTTTGGCGAAAAGTCCGACGGTACGGTTGTGAATGACGTGAGACTTCCTCCTTGGGCCAAGGGCTCGACGCAGGTGTTTATATCCGTCATGCGATACGCACTGGAGAGCAATTTTGTTTTGCAGAACATTCATCGTTGGATTGATCTGATCTTTGGTGTACGTCGATGTGGAAAACTTGCTGTTGAGAGCTACAATGTGTTTCAGCGCATGACGTACGGTGAGGAGGTTCTTCAGGCTTTAAAAAAGTGTGATAATCCACATGACATTGATGTCATCATTGCGGAGGTGGACAACTTTGGGCAGACCCCAATTCAGTTGTTTCAAGAGCGCCACCCTGCACAACGGGAACTGAAACCATGTCATCCTATGCTTTCCACCGGTGGCACGGGCGGTGCACATTCTACGACTGGCGGTAATGTGCTGTGCAGCGGCAACACATATACGACGGCATTTCAGGAACAATTGCCAAAGGTGCTTTCTATGGTCATGCATGCTCTAGACTCACCACAGACATGGTACACATTAGAGGATCCAGCGCCGGGGAGTTTCCAAGCCATGCCTAAGAGCGTCTCAGATGCCTTCCAAATTCATGAGAGTCCCGTACTTGATTTTGTCACGACACGAAGTGGAATGAATATGTGTTGTTACAAGTATTCTTTACCGGTTGATGACACGGACCACATAATTTGTTGGAACCACAGTGAACATATGTTGATGCGGTTTGATAACACGCGAGGACATTTTTTGTCATCTGTACGTTGCAAGTCGGTTCTTCGAATTCCCGCGAGTGTTAGCGCCTTTTGTGTAAGTTGTCGTGAGACGCTGATTTTAATCGGGTCCAACAGTGGTACTGTGTATTGTTTTAGTCATAGCCGAACAGATGGCGTGCTGGTGCTAAGCTCAACATTGTGTAACCACACCAACCCCATCGCTGGATTTGCGTTGAGCATAAAATACGGCCGTATTATTAGCTTTACTACGAGTGGCATCGATTGTCCTACGGTGTGGTGTGTTCAGCATTGCCACACGGTGAAGTTACATGCACTGGATCTCTCTCGCCTGCTTCCCTTGACAACCCCAGGCGACCTTATCGTGGTGGCTGCAGCTATTGATCCCATAAATGCAAATTCCATTATAGTCACACGTCGGCATCTTTTGCTGTTTGATAGGAACGGCGAGCCGTACGGAGTCGGCACTCTCCCCAACGCCGACAAGACCGCGCCACACTTGGAGGATGAGGCGGGGCAAGTTGGTTTTGCCGTAGACGACAGCAAAAATTTTATTGCCAGTATGACAGCTGTCACGACATATGAAACACTCGAGTGGGCTTCTGGCATTCAGCTTCTCATTACAGGGCATCAAGATGGCAGTCTGTCATTGTGGCGTGCTGTGCGTTTGCCGCCTGAGAGAATGGAACACGGCCGTATTGTTCTTGTGGAGCACCATGGGTTTCTCTTTACTGGTAGCCAAACCCCACGTCTTGGTGCCATCACGGCCTTGCGACAGGAACGTCCCGATGTGCCTGTGTTCTTTGTTGGTTACCACAGCGGTGCGGTGAAGGTGCTACGCTTTGAAAATCGTACGGCGGACATGACGAAAATGACAACTTCTTAGTGGTACCGCCTTTTTTATTTATTTTCTTTTGTTGCATCCATCTATTTATTTATATATACACACGTGCGTTTGTGTGTGAGTGTGAGTATGTTATCTGTGCGCTGATGGACGCTAGCGAGGAGAGGAAGAGAGAGGGGGGTGAGGGGGTGAGGGTTAAAGGGGAGGGGGGGAACTGCGGTGCCATGCAAACCAGAGAAGAATAACAAATGTGTGTTGTTTACACGATGTATGCATACATCCTAATAGATAATACATAATGATGAGTGCGAACAAAATAAATAAAAAGAATTCAACGAGAGTGAGTTTTTTTTTTTTTTTTGGGGGGGGGGGAGGGGGGGAAGATGGAAAAAAAAATAATTGTTGAATGTGAGATGTCGACATTTATTATTCTCATCATCATTTATTTATTTTTTGTTTTGTTTTGTTTTATTATTCCCCCCAACTCCGACCCCCCTTTCTTTTTTCTTTTTCTCAATTCCAATACGTTTTTTTTTTTTTCCCTTTTGTTTCTTCCTGTCTGTTCAGAGAAATATTTAAATGCTGGCGGCAATGCGTGGACACTTGTTTCGTGTATTTTTTTTTTTTATTATTCCCCTGACAAAGAACATCGAGCCATCACGGTCACTTAGCGCTCTAGCCAATTCAATACCACGGGAAAATTGCATGTGCCTGTTATTTGTATCTCCTTTTGGGCTCCTTGTCTGAAGTGACAGGAGGTTTTTTTATTTTTATTTTTTATTATTCTCTCATTTTTGTTCTTGTGTGTGTGTGTGTGCATGTGTTGCACTGTTGAAGTGATGCCATATCACTCTCTTACTTTTCTTTTTATTTTGTGGTTGTGTCATCACGCATAAACGCATACGCTATGGTCACTTCTTTTTCCTCTTGGTGTGCAGGAAGGAGGAAGGACATATTGCGTACAAGGGACGAGGAGGAAAGGGGGAAAGACGGCTGGGGAACACATGCAAGGCGGCGGAGGAGATGGCGACACACCTCCGTGTTTCTGCCTCGTCTTGGCGGAGCCGGAGACGTTGGAGCTCGCGGAATGGGTGCGTGACGTCGTAGCGGAGCGTTTAACGCCCCCTGTTACTGGGGTGGTGCTCCGCAACGTTGGTGCGTCGTCAGGTGACGAGTACCGCTTCCACGCCGCTGCGTTGCTTTCATTGGGGCAGGTGGCGGCAGACATCATCCGTCCCACCGGCGGCACCAGGAACGAGACTGCTGTGACGGCATCTAAGACAGTGAAGGCGGTTTGCCTCGTCATTGCGGTGTTCTGGGACGGACAGAGCGAGTCCGTTAAAGCGGAATTCACTCGTCTCAGAGAACTTTCGGATGTCAAGAAAAGCACCGATGCAAACGAGGATAAAAATAAGAATGCGGAGAAGGAAATCGACGACAGTCAATTAAGTCAACTGCAGTTGTCGGAGACGCAGTTTATTTTGCAGGCACTTAGCGCCAAGAAGGGTGAACACACATTGAAAGAAAACAGTGAGGCTTTGGTGAGTAGTCTTCGAAAAAAGTTGACCCTTAGCACCGCTGTACGGTACGTTGACCCACAAAATAGTGAATCGCTGGCGTTGAGTAGACATATGTCGGCAACGTCATGCGATGGGAAGGGAACTGTCATTGGAAGGGAGGATTTCAGCGAGTCCTCCATCGCGGCGTCTATCACGGAGGGTCAAGGGGAATGTTTTTTTCTTGTTTCTGGACGTAGCATGGAGGAATTTCAGCAGCGTGTTGCTCAGTTCCAGGAGTCTGTAAGAAGTCTTGGCGTTGGCTGCATGCCACTGGTAGAAGGGCCGCGTGGGATTCAGGAGACAGGCAGCAACGACGTCAACAGCAACAGTCCTATTAGGAGTAATCATGGTAGCGGTGGTGTGGGAAACGGAGCCGGGAATAAAAGGACGAAGATTATTGCGCAGGAATTTCTTGTTCGTCAGAGTGAGTCGGAAACGCACATTGACCTACGCCTTGCCATGTGCGGTAATGTAGACAGCGGCAAATCAACACTCACGTCCGTTCTTACGCGTGGTTGTCGTGACGACGGACGAGGTTCCGCACGTGCATTTGTCTTTAAGCACAAGCATGAGGTGACAACGGGGCGCACTTCAAGCATCAGCGAGAATTTCCTTGGACTCTCCTCGACGGGAGAGGTGGTGAACTACACCATTCCCGCACTAAAGCGCCTGGGCGGTGGTGGTGGAATTTCCGCCGGGCAGCTTGCACAGGAGGTGGTGGCGCAGAGTGCAAAGGTACTCACGCTATACGACCTCGCCGGTCACGAGCGTTACCTCAAGACGACAGTGCTCGGTATGACGCGGAATATGCCTGACTACGCCTGCATCGTGATCAGTGCAAACAATGGCATTCAACGCATGACAAAAGAACACATTGCCCTTTGCCTTGCACTTAGGATTCCTTTTTTTGTGGTCATTACTCGTATTGACTCTACCCCGGAAAACGTTCGACAGGAGACGTTGAAAAGCATTAATAAGTTGCTTAAAATTCCGACCGTGAGAAAATTGCCCTACCCGGTGCGTCGTATAGAAGACGTTGTGCTTTCTGCGAAAAACCTGCGTATCGACCGCATAGTGCCTATTTTTGAGGTGAGCAACGTTACAGGGGACGGTATTCAGGACCTGATTCGTTTCTTAAATCTCCTCCCTCTGCGAAAAGATTGGCGCAAGGCCCGGATGCAACCTCGAGAAATGGTGATTGACAGCACATTCTTTGTGACCGGCGTTGGCACGGTTGTTGGAGGAATCGTGACGCAAGGCATATTTCACGTGAATGACGCAGTGCTTCTTGGCCCAGACAGTTTTGGCGCGTATCGCACGGTGCACATCAAATCCATTCATGTGAAGGGCATGGAACAGCAGGAGGCGGTGGCTGGTTGCAACGCCGCATTTTGCCTCAAGAAGGAGAAGCGTAACGCCATACGCAAAGGCAACATTCTCGCCGACCCGCACCACCCGGTTGCGGCATATTGGCAGTTTGAGGCGGATGTCACAATCCTCTACCACTCCACTACGATATTGGTGAACTATGAGCCTGTCATTCACTCTGCCACCGTGCGGCAGTCCGCCCGCATCGTGTACGTGGCGCAGGAGGTTCTCCGCACCGGCGATCGGTCACTTGTGCGGTTTCATTTTCTCTACCGTCCCGAGTTCATGAAGGTGGGGCAGCAGCTCATCTTCCGTGAGGGGCGCACGAAGGGGATAGGAACTGTGACGAAAGTTATCGTTGACCGGATGGAGTCGCTTCTGGCAAAGAGGCGGCCGCGGTAGGCAGCAATCGGTCGAAAAAAGGAGAAGCAAAAAGTAAAACAAAAACAAATGATAGTAACATGGAGGAAGAGGGATGGGACGTCACATGCGTGAGGGCGGAAGTGTTAAATTTTCCGGTACATGCGTGGATGGTGCCAGCACGAGCGCAGTGCGGTACCGACGGCGATGACGCATATGTGCATGACGGCAATCAAACAAACGACCTAATGTAAAGAAGGATAAAGAGGAAAGGAATGATGCATACTTTGCAGTGATGTTAATTCACGCATCGTATCATTTGTGCATCCCCTTATGGTTTACTCAGTTGGACAAAAACAGTAAAAAGCACAAACAAAACAACAACAACAACAAAGTCTCTGTTTGATGTGCTGTGGGGGAAAGAGATCCACGCGTGTGTTTTAGGGAAGAGGATGCATGCAGCACGTTTGCTTCCATGCGTTTTCTTGGCGTGTGTGGCTTGACCTTTTGGCCGCGGGAAGAATGACGAAAAGGGAAAACATGGGGGTGAGCAAATCAAAGTAACAAAAGTAAAAGTGAATTTAAAAGTTTCTTCTTGTTTTTGTTGTTTTGGCAGCGAGTGCAGGTCACTGCCCTTCCTTCCGCTCTCTTACTTTTTTAGCCCGTCTTTCTTTCAGCCTGTCTAGGAGCTTGTGAAAAGAATGAACGTGGGAGAGCTGGCTGAATTAATCTAATATATGTCCTGATAAAATGAATGTATTCTTTATGATACTTTCTACCGTATGAATCTTTTGGGAAGAACGCGACTTTGTAGGTGCAGGGAGCGGATAGAGGCCGGATAATATTTGCTTTTATTTTGCCATCCCACTCACCCCTTTTGATTCCCATCACGCGGCGGGGTCTTGTGGTTGGAGGACCCCAAAGTCTGCCACTTCGTAAGTAATAAATAATTCAGATCCTAACTGAGAACGAAGGACCATGCTGGTGGTCCACAGAATTCTATATATTGAATGAAAAGAAAGCATTGAAGCAATTAACTAACGAACCCTCTTTTCCTAACGTGTTTGGTTTCCATAGATTGTCATGATCTGGCCAGCTGCCCGGAAGATTATTTTATTATATATAAATTATTAATCATCCCTTTTTTCATCCTTTTTTTTTTGCCACCACTCATTTCAACCACCCGTACGAGGAGGAGGGGAGGGGGGAGAAACAACAACAACAGAAAAAAAAAAAGGGGGGGGGGGGTCAGACACAAAAAGACATATTCATTAAAAATAATATATATAGATTGATATATATATATATATATATATATATATATATATATATATATATATATCATTGCACAATTGGATTCCAGGAGACGGTGACGAAGGGAGAAAAGGAAACTCCAATACAGGGAGAGAGAAAGAAAGAGATGTCATCTTCTAAGACCGTTACCAGGGGGAGGTTCCTGGCGCCATTTTGTAAGGTAGCCTGCAAGATTGAGAAGCGCTCAGCGAGAAAACTTAACGCGGTTGATGCCTGCATTGCCAAGACGATTGCGGAACACAACGCCAGTGGAACAGATGCCGCAGTAAGCAGTACAAAGCGTTATATCTACGAACAGAAACAACTTTTTCACTATCGTGTTGTGCGGTTCTTTGATGAGTGCCGTTATCTTGCCTCAGGGGAATATTTCCGCACGTACAGCTTCAAGGACTTTGTGTGGGACATTCGATTTTTCACCAAATTTCTACTGCTGTTTATTCTTGGAACGCTTTTTGGCCGGCAGAGCATTTTCCCACCTATCGACCCTGACTCTCCGCTTGCGCTCGCACTGGAGACAAAGGTGAACCCGAACTACTAGGCGCTGTCGTGAAACCTGCAACAGAGCAGTGGCTGTAAGGTAGGAATAATAGTAGCAGAGAAGGTGTGTAATAGATGTTGAAAATTGCGGGGGAAGAAAGAACATAAACAGGCGTGTGATTGGTGTTTGCGTGTTTTTTTTTCTTTTTTTTTCATGTGTTTCTGTGCGGTGAATGCTGGAATGATTGTACGTGAAGTTTCTAGGAAGCGGCGACTGAAATAGAAAAAACGAAAAACAAACAAACGAAAAATATCCCAATGTATGATATTACACACAAGCATAAGTGTACAATTTCATGAATAGAGAAGAGAAGACAATATTTATATTTGTTTGTGTGCTCCTGGTGCATTTCCTTCTTCTTCTTCTTCTTTCTTTTTGTTTTGTATGCATGTATGTGTGTCATTTTGGAAGGATAATTTTATTGTTTGCTTCTTTATGGATTTTTTTGATGTCTGTCTATCCGTCTCTGTCTCTATCTCTCCATCTCTCTATCTCTGCGTATGTCTGCATGAGGAATACGAGTGAATGGGCGAGAAGGAAGGGGGGGGGGAGGCAATGGAGCAAAAAAATAAAAAATATTCCTTTCTATCTGTGGCTGTAGAAAAAGAACTTCCTTGCCTGCCTGGAGAGCGGGAGGGGAGTAAGTCGTCATGGCCAAAATATGTACTTTATTTCTTTCTGTCTTATGTTTTTTTTTTCTCTTTCGTGGTTATTTCCTACCACCCGTCGTGTCTTTGTTTTGCCCAGCGTGGAATCCCCAAAGCGTCCATTTGGGCATCCACAAAAGGAGAGAGAGAAAAAAGGACATTTATTTAAGTTAAACAAAGTGGGAAAATAAAAAGGGAGCGCGTCTCATTGTGGGTTGTGTGTGCCCCCATTTATTTTGTGAGCAAAGAAGAAGGAATTATTTATAAGCCGCCAGACGACGAAAGAAGAGGACCGGCAGCTGCAGGATAGACAGACATACAAACACAGGCACAGGAGGAGGAGCAAGAAGAAGAGAGCCAATCGTGTAACAGATGGTACCTTATCCGGTGTATGAGCCGTTTGACCGTGTGTGGGTGAAGATGGAGGGGTACGACTGGTGGCCTGCCCGCATTGTTAGCGACGAGGAGCTCCGTGCGAACGGCCAGAGCCGTGCTGAGGGCTGTGACATCACCGTTTACTTCTACGAGGGCACCACAACACCGGCGAGTCTGGAACACTTTAAGAGCGCCACCACAAGTATTACTTTCTTTGAGACATCTTCGGAGAAGGCTGTCACGGCGGACGCCGACCTCCTTGCGGCGATACGTCGTGCGGAAACGGATGAGACAGCGAACCCGCTCAAGTACGAATTTGCAGCGGGAGACCGCGGCGGTGGGAATAAAACGGGTGATGGGGTGGCAGCAGGAGCGGCAGCTGTAGTGACCGCAACAGGGGCGTCTGTATCTTCCACGGATGGGATGCGGCGCGGCACGGGGAATGCGGCGGCTAACCAGCGACCCGTCAGCAAGCGCAGCCGTGCGGCGGAATTAGAGGAACGGCACGTCGCCGCGCCTGCGTTGAATTTGTTACGGGACGAGAAACTGATTGAAATTGCCGGGCGGATCAACGAGGCAGTATCGATCTGCGACCTCCCTTCGCTGCGCATTGAATTGTGTGATCTTGACACCGTCAGTGTTACGGTGCGCCAGCTGGAGACGACAAAAATTGGCGTGGCGGTAGGCAGTATTTTGGGCAGGAAAGAACTAGAGAAGTTATGGCCATTGTCGCGGGCCATTGTTTCTTCTTGGGCACGTGCCATGCCCGTTGAGACCATAGAAGCCATCAAAAGACACCAGCAATACCGGCTTGGAAAGCGACAGGATGATGCCAACAAAAGTAGCACGATGGAATTGTCCATGATGAGCCCTTTGGCGGCTGGTGCGCCATCCTTTGCCGATGTGAACGACGTTTCCGGTCCGCTGGCGTTGCGATCGGTGGAGAACGGAGAGCGCGTGCGGATGAGGTTTGTCCACCGTGTGCGGAAGCTGCTGGATAACCCCACCGATCCACCCATCCCGGGTGTCACATCCAGTGATCTGGAGGTCGTTGCTGAGGAGCTCTGCCGCGACGTGGTTGAGCCGGAGGACCGCAAGCATTTACAGGAGCAACTTGAGAAGCCCGGTATGACGCAGCTGCGGCGTAGTTTAGCTACTCGCGCGATGAGCGGAAAGGAGTTTCTGAAACTTCCCCGTTCCGCACTCATGACGGAGGATGAGAGACGGATGGAAGAGGCTCGCATTACGAAGATGATTGAAGACCAGGAGAAGTTGAAACTGGCGAATGTTTCTGTTACAAGTCTGTTCAAATGCCCGAACTGTGGTAAGAACCGGTGCTCCTACTACGAACAGCAGACGAGATCAGCGGATGAGCCCACAACGAAATTTGTGACCTGTCTTGAGTGCAAGTACGTCTGGACAACGGAGTGAAGAAGATGTAGGAGCAGGTAGCGACACTGGCTTGGAAATGGTAAGGAGAAATAATTGCACGAACAGAAACGAAAAAATGAAAAGAAACGAAAAGGAAAGAAAGGGGAAAAAAAAAGAAAAAAAAAAAAAAGAATGACTGGATGAATAAATAAACGGAACAAAGAGAAAAAAAAGAGGTACATGTCTGTTTTCTATCTGGTGGGGGGAAAGAGAGAGAGAGACAGAAGGGGGTGAAATCATGTGTGAGTCGTTGATTAAACCAAGCGGAGAAGGAATATGTGTAGACAAATGCATCTTTTTTTTTCTTCCTGCACATGACGACTTTTTTTTTTTTTTTTACTTGTCTCAACTCCTCCACACAACAGAGCTTTTACTTGGTCGAGTGCCCCCACCTTTTTTTTTTTTTTTTTTTAATGTGGCCTGCTTCTGTCGTGATATTCTTTTCCTTTCTTTTCTTTTTTGCTTCTCGGACTGTTGACATTTGACTCGTGTGGAATTCGTCCTTTTAACAAATGGGAATCAAAATTTCTGCGGCATTTTTTCTTTGCGATTCTCCGCCTTTTTGCTGCTGACAAGAAGAGATGAATTGGGCGCTGCATCGAGGATTGTTGACTTTTTCTTTTTCTTTTCCTTCTTTTTTTTTTTTTTTCTTTCAGGTTAACCGACATCAGGGGTGTTCCGGTCGGCGCCCATTGCGAGGGTTGGGGAAAGGAAGGGAGGCAGACTGAGACGTGCCGGCTCTCTCACACACATACTCTCTCATTTGTCAGTTGAATTATTTCACAAATCCGATATTTCTTTGGGAAGTAGTAACAGGCGGCAGAATCAGAGGAGTTTCTTGGGCGCTTTGAACATTGGCGACGTGGTCCGGGGGATACAAGGAACGTGCCATAAACGGCCTTCAGTACACCCAAAAAACAGTTGGATTCGGTTTATAAAAGAGGCGGAGAAGGGACGAGGGAACAACGCATATTTTGCGACATTTCGCTGGTTTGTATTGTGATTCATATTTATTTATTTATTTATTTTTGTGCCTATTACCCGGGTGGGTGGGTGTGGGAGGACTGCGTGCCTGCGTGGGCTTCTGTGTGCTTATTTGTGTGTGGTTTCTTTGCGTCTATTGTCTGTCTCGGTGTGCGCTGACGATGGCCTTCCCGCTGAATACGCTTGTCTGGCTGAAGCAGCCGGGGTACCCGTGGTGGCCGGGGATGGTGCTTGATCCCGCAGCGCTGGAGATGGTATTGCCTGCGGGGTACGACACATGCGTGCTCTGCCTACCCTCCGTGTCATCGAGCGTGGCGTTCGCCAACAGCAGCAACGCCGAGGAGCTTCTTCGATTTGATCCGGAGACGGACGCAGAATTGATAGAGGCGGGGAAACAAGATGCGGACTGCGCCGCGGCGATTGAGGAGGCATTGAATGTCTATGAACAACAAGCACAGCAGGCTCAATTGGAGGAGGAGGAGGGAGAAAAAAATGAACACGAAGACGGTGGAGGTCGCAAAGGGACACACACGCGGAAGAAACATATGCCACACAAGGCGGATAAGCACGAAAGGAAGCGGCGTAAACGGCATGAACGCAATGAGTCGACTCCTGTGGATCGGCGTTACCGCCACGAAAAGAAGAAAAACGAGCGGCGTAAATATATGGATAGTGACGATCTCGAGAGTGGGACGACCGAGGATTTAAGCGACAACAGTGATGACAGGAGAAGGGGCAAACGCACCGGGAAGAAATCGGGAAAGGCGGGATCGCAGGACGCCGTGGATCAATACGAAGAGGAGGCGGGGTTTCTGCCAACTCACCAGGAAGATGATGCGGCATACTTGGAGCGCATGCTTCGTGAGAACCGTCACACCGTATCCGATAGTACGCTTGCGACCATCCGGCACAAGCTAGAGACGCTGACAGAAGCCTGCAATCACGGTGGTGTCATTTCTGTCAGTGAGGCGGCGGAGGAGGAATTACTTGAGGTCCTCTCACCGCTGTCACTTGTGAACGTCACCCTTGACCAACTTCGCCGCCTTAAGATTGGTGTTACTGTTGGAAAATTCCTCTTGAGGGACTACCCTGTTCGTGTCGTCTCGCTCGCTTCGGCGATCTTGACGTATTGGTTTCGTCAACTTCCGCCCGCAACGCAGCAGCTCTTGAGTAAAAAGTCAGCTCTCGATATGGCGTCAAATGACACAACAATTGGCTCGGAGCGCCAGGACGTTTCACTGGGTGCATTGGGCGTGCAGCTAGAGGCCTGCTTCACCGACGAGGAGGTGTGCGACACCATCAATGATCCTGTTATCGTTGCAGGGAACATCGAGAAGGAGTTGGAGGCCGTGGACGACGAGGATGTCAGCATGGAAGTCCTCGCTGCTTTGCGGGATGGTAGCAACACGGCTCTGCGTTGCGGTCTGCTTGACGGCTCTATCACTGCGAAGGACTTTGTTGCGAACCCTACCAACCCGGATCTTTTACTGAAGCGCAGCGACAATGACGGTGACAAGACGTCGGGGGTGTCGCCCGTAGAACCGGAGTCCCCGCTGGAGGAGGGGAGCGACCTCACAAATTTTACGACGCTGTACGTGTGTCCCGGCTGTGGTGCCCGCGAGGCGGTCGCCAACGAGTACTCGGTGCAGGCGCATGATAACATGGCGGTTTTTGTGCGATGTCTCAAATGCGACGAGACGTGGAATGTTGAGGCGTAGTTTTACGAGGAATTTTGAACAGAAAAAAAAAAAAAGCCTAATCTCGCAATGTTGCAAGATAAGCGATGAGGTCTGCATGCAATGTCCTCGTACTTGTTTCCAGGGCCTTGAAGAAATTCCTCCATGCAACCGACCTGCTCTTGTGTGTGTGTGAACTTCTACATATTATATATATATATATATGCATCTATGCCTTCCCTTTTTTCTTTCTTTTTCCTTCTTTTTTTTTTTTTTTTGGTTTCTTTTTTGTTTGAAAGGAAGTGATAAATTTTTTTTTTTCCCCACCTCATTCTTTTGGTGTTGCCACGAGTTAAAACCTTCTTTTTTTTTTTTTTTGTGGGGGGGGGGGAGCTCCGTTAACTCTTCTATCAGAAAACTAAAGAAAACACACACACACACATACACATACATACATCCGAAACATAAAAAAACACCACCAAAAAAAAAAAAAAAAGAAAAAAAAAACAGACAAAAAAGAAAAAGGCTGAAGGAAATCTTTTTTTTTTTTTTTTTTTTTTTTTTTTTTTACGGCCTTTTTTTTCTTTTCTTTTCTCTTTGACTCTTTCAGAGGACCGCATCGCCTTTTGTACTCCCACGGATATGGGTACACTTCGGGAAAACAATGCAGGTTTCGGTGACGAGAAAATGGATCACTCCAATAATTCCATCCGCGTGTCAACGCCGAGGATGCAGCCAGGGGAAGCGGAGCTCGTTAATTCCCTCGATCTCAACGGTCCAACCAACGAATTCGCCGGTGAGCAGGTGGAAATGCAAAGCAATGATTCCCAAGACACCTTTAAGAAGCGAATGAGTCGCATAAATGCGATTTTGACGTCGGTGGTTATTTGGTCATTTCTCCTGCTCACTCTCTTGTTTTTGGCATCCATTGTGTTCGGCATTGTGTACTCCGGGATCCATTATCATGGCCCAGGCTGGCACGATGCTTCTTCGGCGAAATCCGCCTGTGTTTCACCTTATGGTGCCATACTTGGCGCGGCAGGCGATGTGTTTGCGTACAGTAACTGCATCAGAAATTACGATAGTAAAAGCAGGAATAACGTTTCAAGTCAAAACAAAGAAAGCGGATTGAAGTGGGATTGCATGGAGTTTGCAAGGCGGTATTGGATGCTTCGTGGAACTCCCGTGCGTGCAACGTTTGACTCAGTGGTCGGAGCTGCCGACATTTGGGCACTGAACTTCGTGCGGCTCCTTGACGGCTCTAAAACGCCGCTGCTTAAATACCCCAACGGCCTCCCACGCCGTGATGGCGGCTCCGCTCCGCGTGCCGGCGACCTGCTGATATACCCGCGTCAGCGGGAGGATTTTCCGTTTGGACACGTCGCCGTCGTTGTCGGTGTGACGAAGAACTCTGTTCTCGTTGCAGAGCAGAACTGGGACAACAAGATGTGGCCCGGACCGTACCACAACCACTCCCGCGAAATTCGCATGCTGTACAGCCCCATCCATGACGCCTACAACATTACGGAGGAGGAAAACATCATCATTGACGGGTGGATGAGGTACACCACGTAGCAGGACATGCGCTGTAAAGCGGAAGAAGGGAGGGAAAACGGAGTTTAAGGCTTAAATCAATGTATTGTATTTGGGGATGTTAGACAACAAAAAAAAAAAGTAAAATAAAATAAAATAATAGATGAAATATGAAGGTGACAGCCTATAAATATATTTATTTATTTATTTATTTACATAAGAAATAACATTGATGATAGGCGGTTAATGAACTTAAATACAAACACAAACATACACGAAAAACAACAAGAAAGAAAGAAAGAAAGAAAGAAAGAAATAAAGAGAGAAAACAACAACAACTGGGGGGTGGAAGGTACGTTGGTATATATTTGAACGATTGAATCCGTTCTTTTTGACTGTTTTCTTGGTTTTTTTTTTTTTTTTTTTTTTTTTTTTGTGAGCACCCACAACTGACTTTTCACGAAACAAACAAACTCCCCCTCCCCTCCTCCTCTTGCGGCATTTGATTTTGGTCCAGCACCTCCG